TTCATAGTGTAGATTGGAACAATTTCCATGACAAAAGAGTGGTTTTTAAATCTACTTTGAGGAGGACCAGAATTATTTTCCTTCTTTATGTATATAGACATTCTGGGATAATTTTATTTCCACCAATAAGGGAACCATAAGCAATCATTCAAAGAGGAAGTTGCTGTGATGTCACCATTGTGATAGAGATGTCATTCAGTGACAAGGTGTTCATAGATTAGAACCTGTAAGAGAACTATCTGCCTAATACATGCACAGTACAATGCATATTGAATTAAATGGGCAGCCATGAAGGAGAGAAAACAAGTTTATTTATGCTTTTACAGTGCATTTCTAACTCTAGCTTTTCATTCCAACTGGAACAGCTTTGTGGTCCTGGCAGCCATATTGTTTTATATGATAAAGGATATCATTATTAGCATCTCCAGTCATCAGTGGTGCCTCACACACTGAGTCTCCAGATGTCGCTCCTTCGGTCAGTTGATTAGCTTACTAGTGCAGGCTAGGTGGTGTTGACAACAGAAATGTAATTTCTCACGGGTCTGGAGGCTGGAAGTCAAAGACCAAGGTACCAGCAGGGTTGTTTTCTCCCGTGTCCTCTCTCCTAGGCTTGCAGATGCCACCCTCTTGCTGCCCCTTCATAGATGTTTGACTGTCTGTACACACTGGCCTGGGGTCTCTTCTTCTTACAAGGACACCAGGCAGATTGCATTAGTGCCCACTCTAACAGCTTCATTTTAACTTACCTTTTTAAAGACCTTCTCTCCAAATACGGTTATATCCTGAGGTTCTAGGCATTGAGATTTCAACATATGAATTTTGAGGGGAAACAATTCAGCCCACGACAGTGATGTTCAGTCTGCTTTACTTAATCCTCCACTTCATACCTAAATGCCATCAACTGTCTTTTTTCCTGCCCTGTCCCATAACCTCTTAGGTTCTTAAGAGATGCATTAACGTGTTAAAGGATAGTATCTCCACATTTTCTGCTAATATTGACACTTTCAATTGGAATAGTTTGGGGGAAAGAGTTCTGTGAATTGAAAAAGGAATCTAGTCTAATGTGAACTATTTCTTTATAAGGATTCCTTTGAAAGCAAGGGCTACATAGAGAAAAAGCTACACTTTGTCAAGCAAGAGCGCAAAAGAAGAGATTTCTTGGATCGTTTGCTCCCCTCACCTTGAACGTGCCCAAAGGCATACTCTGACACTGAAAATGGTTTAAAGTCCCCAGACCCTTCCTCATTTCTTACCTTTCTTCCCCTTCTATAGTGGTAAGCACATGTTTCCCTGAAATTACCCTAAGACATACATGGACAGAGAAACTCACACATCAGAAACTGACTATCCCTGCCATGTCCCATGCTCTCAGGTCAGCTGGCTTCAGAATGGATTTGGCCAATGAGAGGCATAGGTTGGGGATTGGGGGATTAGACAAAGGGAGATGCCAGGCTATTTGCTTTCTCCTTCTCCTCCTCCCCTTGGGTGGCATCTCCTTGGGCTATACAGATGGTCCATGACTTACAATGGTTTGATTTACCATCTTTTAGAAGAAGATTTCATTTTACTTTTTCCTTTTTCTCCCCAAAGGCCCCCAGTACGTGGTTGTATATTCTTAGTTGCAGGTCCCTCTAATGTGGGATGTCGCCTCAGCGTGGCCTGATGAGCGGTGCCATATCCGTGCCCCGGATTCGAACCGGCGAAACCCTGGGCCGCTGCAGCAGAGCACGCAAACTTAACCACTCGGCCACAGGGCACATCCCTGATTTACCATTTTTTGACTTCATGATCATGTGAAAGTGATATGCATTCAGTAGAAATCGCACTTCAAATTTTGAATTTTGATCTTTTCCCAAGCTAGCGATTTGCCGTATGATACTCTCTCATGATGCTGGGCAGTGGCAGCGAGCCACAGCTCCCAGGCAGCCCCGCGATCACGAGAGTGAACAACCAATCCACTTGCAACCATCCTGCACCCAGACAACCGTTCTATTTTTCACTTTCAGTACAATATTCAATAAATTACATGAGATATTCAACATTCATTATAAAATAGGCTTTGTGTTAGATGGCTTTGCCCAACCGTAGGCTAATGTAAGTGTGCTGAGCATGTTTAAGCTAGGCTAGGCTAAACTATGATGTTCAGTAGGTTAGGTGTATTAAGTGCATTTTCGACTTATGATACTTTGAACTTAACGATGGGTTTATTGGGATGTAATCCCATTGTGAATCGAGGATCCATATGTATCTCTTTGGTGGTTCCAGCTCTCACCAGACTGGCCTATGCTGGTTCAGGGTCCTCTCAGTGAGGTAGTTCCCTGAGCTCTGGAAATCTTGCCTCCTTCCATCACCCCTCCAAATTAAGAGTCATAACAATTTCTTGCTATTGCTAAACCCTAGTTTAACTCACTGCCCCTTTTGACGTCTTCCATTACCTGTAAAACCAATTCTTCGGTATCCTTTGATTTAAATATTTACAGAGCATTCTATTTTTCTGACATGAGCATTATTGACTTATGCTCTCTGGTCAGTTCTGTCATCTATAAAACGAGAATAATAATATAGGGTTATTTTGAAGATTAAATGATTAAGTACATGTAAGATATTTAGAACTCTGTAAGGCACAAAGTAAGTATGTAATAAATGTGAGCAAGTTCATGCTATTATTATTATTAGGGCTTCCTTTTGACCTATAAATTGAGAAATTAAAACCATTAAATGACCATGAAGAAGAATTAGGTTGGACTGAATATTCTGAGTCCAGGAAAACAAGGCAAGAAGCTGAGTTAAGTGAGGTCAGTTTACAAAATCTGCCAGTCTAAGAAGGGGCTGTCCCACTGACATTTCTGTGATAGTTTCATATATCAAATCATGTACAAAAGAACTTGTTTAGTTATTCCTAGGCTTTATTGCTAGCTTCAGACCCTTGGTGATTATTGGTGTTCTCTCTTGGATAGTAGAAAAGATGCAAAGTTCAGAAGTAAATGTCTTTACATTAAAAAAATACATACTAGAGATATGGCAAGCCTGAAATTGATTTTTTGATAAATGAAGCTATTAGCAAGTAGAAACAAACCAAAAATGCACATATTAGGCAGAAATGCTATTCATTTTGGATTCTGCATAGAATCCAAATCTTTATACTGAATGGTTGCTTAGTGAGTGTAATTAAAATTAATTTATAAACAAAAATAAAAGCAAATTTTAAAAGCCTCCTTTCCTACTTTCTAGGCTTTCAGAAAATGTTTTTAGTATATTCAGTATGTCTACTATCACCTTATAAAATTAAATATACAGTAATCGACTATTGTCTCAGCATATTAGTTTGGTCTGTTTCTCATTGAGAACAATACAGGGAATTTTTTTATGTGAAGATTATTAAACGATTCTGTTCAAATCTACCACAGCTTTAAGTTTGGGCTATCATGTTATAAACACCCATAACTGTATGGGAGTACTGACTGGGAATAAATCCTGTATAAGTGAAAATGGGATAGCCTATTTTAAAATTAGATCCTACTGGTTTCAATTTCAGGACCTTCCCTCTAAGACTGGCCTTATGTCAGG